TCAATGTTCAAGTCCCATTTTTGAGTGAGAATATGCAGTGTTTAGTTTTCTCTTCCTGTGTTAGCTTGCTGAGGATGATGGCTTCCAGCTTCATCCTTGACCCTGCAAAGGACATAATCTCATTCCTTTTTGTGGCTGCATAGTATTCCATGTATATGGAATATGTATGGAATGTGGTATATGTACCACATTTATCCAGTCTATCATTGATGGACATATGGGTTGGTTCCATGTCATTGCTATTGTAAATAGTGCTGCAATCAACATACATGTGCAATAAACATACATAGTAGAATGATTTATACTGCTTTGGGTATATACCCAGTAATGGGATTGCTGGGTCCTGTGTTTTCTAGTCATATATATAACGTATACATATATGCAAAATGTCAGTTACATCCTGTTGGTTGATTATGTTGATCAGATCTATCTTTACTGGTTATCTCGCTAATATTTCTGTCATTTGCGGAGAGGAGAATAGTGAAATCTTCAACTATAATTATAACATGTAATAATGTAATTAACATGTTTTCATTTTCCAATTTAAATAAAGAGCAGAGCATATGAAAAAGTTGTGTAAAAATTATGTAATATATCTTCTATTATGATATAAAAACACAAAATGTATAGAAAGAAATATGCAAAAGTTAATGGCAATTATATATACGGTGATAGCGCTATGGATAGCTTTCTCCCCATCTTTAGTTTTTTTAAATAATTTCCAAAAACCTTAAAAATTACCAATGGATGGAGATATATATATATATATATATTTGTAGCCATTTGATGACTTAAACGGTGCCGTGTTTTTCCAGATTTCTGGTTCTCTTCTAAATTGTCAGGGATCACTGAAAATTATATTCCAGGAATACAATGAGCAAACACTGATCAGACAGCATTTTAATAAGGGAGACACTATTAGCAATATTAATCTGGAAAGTGATGATCCCAATTAAAGAAAAATGTGTGGTTGCATTTTTAATAATGTGGCCCACCATATATTATTTAATATTATTTCTGTAACTAATGTGGTTTATGTTATTTGCGTCTGTCTTTAAACAAAACTTAAAATCCCTTTGTGCACAACTTCTAAAGGTAGTTTAGATATTTATTTCTTAAAAGAACTTTGGGAAACCTAAGGAAAATTATTTTATAACTCCAAAGTACAATTATCATATTTGCAGAAAAACATCAATTTTTTTGTAAAATATATATTTCCTTATTAAAATTTGAGCTTATGATTCCAATTTAGTACTGACATTTATTTTTATTTTTATTATTATTATTACTTTGTGAGACTGAGTCTCAGTCTGTCGCCCAGGCTGGAGTGTAGTGACATGATCTCAACTCACTGAAAACTCCACCTCCTAGGTTCAAATAATTCTCCTGCCTCAGCCTCTCTAGTAGCTGGGTGCCCGCCAACATGCCTGGCTAATTTTTGTATTTTAGTTGGCCAGGCTGGTCTCGAACTCCTGACCTCAGGTGATCTGCCCGCCTCGGCCTCCCAAACTGTTGGTATTCCAGCCCGGAGCCACCACACCCGGCCTAAAATTTCATTTTTAAAATCTAGGTTCTCATCAAAATAACAGCTATACTCATAAGAATTTAGATTGCAATTTTCCTTAAATATTGACTTCTAATTTGTCCATACTGCATTCAGAAATATCTTAGGGTTTCTTTTGAAATAAAAAGTTAGCTACCAACTTAATTTTTCCTAATTAAATGTCTTCTCAGTGATATACTATTTCAGATAATTTAAAATATTTTATTCCTTATCTCCATGACTTATTTCACCAAAGATTTAAAGTGTATATTTCTAGACAAACACCCTTTGTTTTAGGGTGAAAGAAGTCACCCTTCTTAGATTTAAATAAATCCACACCATATTAAATTTCTTCATCTTCTGGAGAATTAACTGCTCAGTCTATACAAATGTCTACACGGAAATTTTAAAATTTGGTAAAATATCTGGAATGTGTTTCAGGGTTCTGATGCCAACATTTTGTCTACATATACCTATAATTCTACCTTTAACTTCAACACTTTTTTTTTTCAACAGTTTGCCTTCTTGCAAAGCTTATTTCAAAGATGTGCTACTTTGGAAGAGAATAAATAAAGCAATCTTCAATACAGTCAGTAAAGTTCTCAGTCTTACAATACTTGATTGGTAAAGCAAGAATTCAACAAACATACATAAAGCCTAGCGGGCAGGCGGCCTATTTTCCAGTTTTAATGCGAATTGAAAAATTACATTACATTGTCTTTCACGGCTGTCTTTCAGTCTGGTGTCATGAAGTATTCTTACTAGTGTGTTAAGGTAGATCATTTTTCTTTCTTTTCTTGCCTTGAATCTTATGCAAGTAGAGACTTTTCACTTCCTGTCAGTGTTTATTGACAAAGCCTTTACTATTATGTAGTCTGAAGGTGGCTTCCTCTTGCCTGCCATGAAGGACCTGAATATTCTAATGGAAGCTACTCACTGAATGACTTCCCCATTACCCCATAAAAAGTGGGTGGGGCGCAGTGACTCACACCTATAATCCCAGCACATTGGGAGGCTGAGGAGGGTGGATCATCTGAGGTCGGGAGTTCAAGACCAGACTGGCCAACATGGTGAAACCCCGTCTCTACTGAAAATACAAAATGAGCTGGATGTGGTGACAGGTGCCTGTCATCCCAGCTACTTGGAAGGCTGAGACAGCAGAATCACCTGAAGCCAGAAGGCAGCGGCTGCAGTGAGCCGGGATGGTGCCACTGTACTCCTGGCCTCAAGTAATCCGCTCCCCTCAGCCTCCAAAAGTGCTGGGATCACAGGCGTGAGCCACTGCATTCGGCTTAATTAATTTTATGTTTAAATAAAATCAGCCTTTGTTTCCCCAAGTCTTAAATATTCAAACCTGCTTTTCATGTAAAATCTTAAACAAAAAGGAAACAAGATATACATTGTATGTGGTCTTTGCCCCTCCCTGTCCTTGTTTCTCTCCGATGTGATGGTATGAAAGAGCCTCTTTTTACGCACATTTTTTTTTCTTTCTTTCTTTCTTTTGTGGAAAACTCTGTTTAGGTATTTCTGGATCGTGTGGGGTCAGATTGGCAGCAGAAAGGGGATGCTGTCTCAAAGTGCCATCTTCAAACTATCATGCTTTCTCAAATTATGTTTTAAAGCCTGTTTACAGCCACATTGACACCTGAGGTCAGATTATCTAGAATAATTACTAACCCTGGGTTAAATGTTTTCTTTTATTACCAATTTTATCACTTGATCTTTATGAAGCATCCAAACTTAGCATTGACTGAGGTCATTTCCTCTGTATTTTCCACAAATAGTTTTTGCTAATTTTTTTTCCAAAATAATTGAGAGAAGTGTTTTATATACTCTGAGAGCATTTACAAAACATGAGTAAAAGTTGACCTTTTTTGAAGGATTATTTGTGGGTAGAGCCCCTACATTTTATCATGTGCATATTACGAATACCAGAAAAGGATAATAGCTTACATATATAAATATTTATTATAATTAATAATAAAAAGATTAACATGTCAATAGACATAGGCAAGAAATAGGAAACAGAAATTTATAAAGAGCTAAAAATGGCCAAGATTTATGAAAAAAAATCCTAATCAATTTAAATTAAAATGTAAACAATTTTGTCTGGCAGATAGTAGATGCTCAATAAGCATTTTTTACTAAATGAAGAAAGTAACGTATTTCATTCATCCAACTGGCAAAGGGTTTTAAGAATAATATGAATCTCCAGAATTGACAAGATAGCCAAGCAAAAGATAACATCTTCAGGTAACTACCAATTCAAACTGTGGATATTGAACATCTAGATTCTAAGTTCTTTTTTAGCCTTTAGTCTTTTTTAGCCTTTACTAAGAAAGTAAATGCATTTTAGAACAGGATATAACTACATTCAAATAACAAACTGTGTTTTTAAAATGACAGTAGCATTAATATAAATGGCAAAACCATCTCAAGATTTAACCTATAAAAAAATTTATTTTATACTATGTCATTTAAGCAAACAGGATTTAGAACACAAGAAATTTTATACTAAAGTATATATAAATAAGCATTAACTGCAAATATTACCATCTCTGGCAAAAAAAAATGTCCCCCAGTATACGCACAGATGGAGGTAGAAAAGAGCAAAGAAAGAGATATCCTGAATAAGGCCAGTGAACTTCTTTTCCATCAGCCTTAATTCCAAGGACCAGTAGAAAACTCTGAGTGGAAAAAAAGTGCTGATCGTGCCTTGTCGTATTATTGACACTTCGTAATGTTTGAGCTCTCAAAAAAGTTAATTATTTTCTTTCTCTACAGTTTATCTATGATGCCCAGAAACCACTGACTTCCTGGAATTTTTATTAAGAATTCATATTCTTGCCATGTTTTTCAGATACTATGTCCTCTGCCAATAAATTCTAATAAATTTTCACTTCTTTTCTTTCAATAACATTCTAGAGAATACGATTCAGACTCAAATTAATCACCGATCATGTTAATGGCTCCTAGGAGTTTACTTCCGATAGCCCTTATTATATTAAATCAAACTTGATAGTGTACTAGATCATTGCTCAGCTGGGTTTTCATAAAAGCACTGGTATTTAATATGATTTATGCCTGGCTTTCTGTTAATACCTTTGGTTATTGTGTGCTTTATTTTTAAAACAGACATTCTTAGCAACTGGCACTCCTTTAAAATCTATCATACCTTAAAAATATTTTACAGGAAGCATTTTACAGTAAAATGTGCCCCTTATTGTATATTACAGTCAGTTAATAGTGAACAGGAACAATTTATTTAATTTATAATCAGAATATTAATAGTTTACTTGTAGTTTGGAAAAAGTATCACATATACTTTTAACATATACGTAAAACATATAAGCAAGCATAAGCAAAACGTATAAAAATAAGACACATATTTTGCTTTTTTAAAAGATAAATTATGTGAAAGAGTATTGGGATTCTGAAAGTATAATATTTTTTAAAGCTTTGCAGCAAAGGAGCAGCTCTGGAAGAACCATTTGAAGCACCTGCTGAAGATATAGCAAGTGTGGCAAGTTTCATTGAGACAAAGCTTGTTACCTGCTACCTACGGATGAGGAAACCAGATCTTGCCCTGAATCATGCACACAGGTAAAATTATACACGAATAAGTGCAAGCAAATGCTGTTTATGCTAGTGGAGGGTACTATCTGAGCTTGCCGGATCATCTTCCATTTTATTTCAATTTAAAAAGGAAACAAAAAACATTTATTTTCTACTCGGTTTATGTCAAGTAAGGCAATCATGGAGACCACAAAGGAATCTCAAAACCTAACAGATGAAACAGAGACACAAGAAACTATTCCTAATGCAGGACAAAACTAAGAAGCAGACAACTGCAGAAGCAAATTGCTGCAGAAAGGAGGGAGAGAATAGATGAGTAAGGGAGGTGACACTGAAAGGGAAGAAGGATTTTCAACGCTGCAGCTGTGGAATGGTGGAAGGGAATTCTGACTGTGAAGTATGAGCCAACACTTGAAAGTCGATGGCTTATTTGGTGATCACATTAGCTGATTCAAAGGATGCTGGCATCCTTTATACAGCTTTCCACAGGTATGAAATACTTTTTATCTATGTCCTTAAAATTTTCTTTTTTATATTTCTATCCTTCCTTAGAAGGATGTATCTGTGTGACACTATGCAACTTCCTAGAATCCCCAAGTGTTACTCAGGCCTGCCTTTTCTTCTATAAAAATGTACCTCTCCTGTATTTTATTTTTTAGAGGTCTTTCTCTCATGGGTAGTAATCAGTTTTAATCTGCAGCAAAGGTAAAGTGATTATATTATGCCTTTCAACAAACTCTTTCCTTGAAATTGTGATCTCTCTATCCCTCCCTGCCTGACTTTGAGCAATTTACCTACAACTTTGGTGTTGTTCATTTTCTGATCTCACAGCCTGTATTTCTTTTGGATGCAAATGGCAAACTAGTATCAGTATGAAAATATAATTCCTGTTTTCTTAATAACCAACTGGGCAACATGATTATCAGTTATATTTAAGACTCATTCGTAAATGGGAGATTTGTTAACATGGTAAAAGTCATTTATAAATTCACATCCACTAGGATGTAAAAGTTCTTTCTACCAAAGATTTTTCACAGCCCTAGTGGTGAACTTAAACTTGACCTCAGGAACCTACAGACAACAAAATAGCTTTGAAATTCACAGGACAACCCCTTGAAAGCCATTCTCCCTCTTAAGTAAACTACAGAAACTAAAGGCAGGCTCCCTTTGACATTAAAAGAAAATTGTACTCTCTATATTATCTGGAAACACTTTATGCAACCATAGTTTCCAAAAAAAAAAAAATCAAGATATATGGTCTGTCAACGAATTTTGTTCTATTTCCATTTGAAAGAAGAAATATTGGAAACATAATGTATATTTCAGTATGTCAAAATATTGCAACTTCTGGGCCACCGGGGTGACTTGTGAGCACAATAAGAAAAATATTTGAAAACTACAGACTACAAAGCATTCGATTATGCAAAATATTTGATCATGTGAAAAAACGAATATAAATAAGAATTTTAAAAATAGAAATGAATATTTCAAAGCTACTTATAGACTTCAAAATATTCAGAAAATCTATAGTCATACATAAACAATATAAATTGAGATGCATTAAAAGTAATCATACCTCACCTTCTCCATGGTTATAATCACACATAAAAAGGGCCATCTGCTATTTTGATGAATTTTTGAATCATATTTAATAATAAAAGGGTTCCAAATGGTATGGTCATGTCAAAATGTAATTAATTCAATGTTATTAAAAGAAAGTAACAGTCTCTGGTAAATAAGAATTCAGTAAAAAAGTAAAAATAAAAAGTAATGAGAATGAAAGATCAAAAATTCCAATATAATCCAAATATAAGAACAATAAGATGTTGCAATTCCTGAGAATGCAAAAATCAGCTTCAGAAGTTTCACTGTTTAGAATTAGAAAACTTCTGTTTTAAAACTAAGACTGCTCTTTCAAGATCTTGAAAATTACTGTATTGAATATATATATATAACAGTGAATAGTAAAATTATTTTTCCTATTATGTTAAAATTAACTTTTGTAAAATAATTTTTGCTGCTGTTCCTAAGTTGAACATTAAATAAGAAATATAGATGAATAGAGGTTAAACAGTCCATGTGTACAATTAATAATGCACCAAGTGAAATACATCATTTTGCTGGTGTGGTCATAGTACAGAACTGCATAAGTCAGTATAGATGATTTTAATATCAAATCATCTTGAAAGATCTTAGATTTTAAAACAGCCTGAAATACAATCAACAAATATATTTTAGGTTAGGAGATCGAGACCATCCTGGTCAACATGGTGAAACCCCATCTCTACTAAAAATACAAAAATTAGCTGGGCGTGGTGGCATGCGCTTGTAATCCCAGCTACTTGAGATGCTGAAGCAGGAAAATTGCTTGAACCTGGGAGGCAGAGATTGCAGTGAGACGACATAGCGTCACTGCACTCCAACGTGGTGACAGAGAGAGCCTCCATCTCAAAAATAAAATAAAATAAAATAATTAATTAGTCAGGATATTTGGTCTATAAATAGTTTACAACCTATTAGTTATACACTCATTGCAGGATTCTGCTTTTGTAATATTATCACATTGTGAAAGTTGATACTAATCATGAATCAAAATTAAAATATTCCTTTTTTGCATTTATTTGCATTTGCTGAAGCATCTTCTCTTTAATTTTATGTAAATGTGAGGTCTACTGCATATCTTTAGAAGACTTGCTAACACAAAAATTAACTTAAAAACCATCGTGCAGTTTTGCTTCTGATTTTATCAGAATAAAAATATTTATTCAAAAATAAATGAATATTGTTTTGTCATAGAGAAGTCTATAAGAACCATAACTTTATGGTTTTAAGAGCAACAAAGATACATTTTGAAATTAATCAGCTAAGCCCTGCCATTTAAACCAACATCGTGAGTGATACCAAGGCTGTTATCAAAATGACTCTTCTTTTTCACTCACAGCATCTCCAAAGTGACAAATGTGAATATCATTTTTACTTCCACCAAAAGTAATGCTTGGACCCTCCTAATACATTGAGTCTCTGCTCACTTCATCAAACCAGTGCAACTGTTTATCAGAAGGTGTTTTGAACATTTCTAAAGATCGGTTTGTAATTACTGCTATCTCATCAAGGCCAAAATCCTGCTATTATCCTTTTCTTATTATATAAATATATTTTGATGTATATGCTTATAAATATTTGAACGGTACATATCACCTTTTGTATATTCCCTACCTTCAGGGGTTTTTTTTAATTGCAGAATTTTGTTGCCACAAGGTGGCAGACAAGATGAAGCCTAAAGTACCAAATATGTAAGAAAAATCCCTATTTTAAAAATTGTTTTATAATGGTAGTATCTACGTTCATTCATTCATTTTTAAAAATTTATTACATATTTCCACCCAGAGCCTATTCCTATGCTAGGCAGTGGAGAGACAGTTATAAACAGGAAATAATGATGCTTATACACCAGCAGAAGTAAATAATGTGTAAATAAATAAGTATTAGCGTATATATGAGATAAAGAGAATGATAAGTGCTGTAAAGGAAATCAATATAAGTTATGTTGCAGAGGCAGCATAGCATATTTAGTCAGAGCACAGCGTCTAGAATGTGACTGCCTAGCTTCAAATTATGACTCCTCCACTCACTAGTTAGACTGAATTTAATTTTTTATTAAACTGCGTTATAATAATAGCACTTACTTCACAAGTACTATTTCACAAGGTTTTGTATAACCTCATGAATTTTTTATTCTAACCATGACACAGTTACTGGTACTGAATCTGCCTCCTTGCTGTAAATAACTGTAAAACTGGGCAAAATATATGAGACAACTCCTTTCAGGCATTGGACAATGGTCAGAGCAGGACTGTGATCCCTGAAAGAAGGAAAATACACATGATGAGCCCCACAATCTTCTCTGTTTTTCTCTCGGTTTATTTTTCTGCCCTAGTTCAGGGACATGGATATCAGGTTAAACTGCAATCTCACTAAACTGAAGAGGCCGAGATTAGAAGGGCAAGCTGCCAAGGAAGCTATAATTACAGGAAACATGGCCGAGGAAAAGGTAGCTATGTGAAAGAATTGAGAGACAGAAGTCTGCATGAGAATTTACTGGAAGTTCTTAGCCAAGGTCTGTGCCATGCATGTGAGGAAAGAGATTCCACGTAACGGAAACTGCCTGCCACAGAACTAAGTGCTAAACGAAAGTACTTAGATGTCCTGCAGTGCTGGAGATGTTGGAGTATCAGGGTAAAGAGACCTCACTGAGCACCTCAGGTACTCAGTTGAGCCCCAGAAAGATCATACTAATAGTTAAGGACCATGTCCTACTAAAAGGACCACACCTTAAGATTAAATTCAAAGACAAAATAGGCCTGTCCTAACAAAAAATAAAACCAAGCTTCACAAGAACAAGAGTGTCTGCCATTGCATTCTCTCACAGAGGAAAAAAGCAAAAACAAAAACACCTCAACGTCCTAACATGTTTTTCAGGAAATATGTCATAATACAGATTCTCCACAAAGTCTCCCCCAGAATATCCAGCATAAAGTTAAAAATTACCACACATGCAAAGAAGTGGGAAAATGAGACTTAAGAAAATAAGCAGTCCATAGAAATAGACTTCAAGATGTAGAGCCAGATATAGATCTTCAAGACCCAGATGTAGAGCTGGCAGACAAGGATTCAGCAAACCTATGAAAACACGTTCAAGAATCTTAAGGTAAAAATAGTTGTAATGAGTGAAGAGATGAGAATCCCAACAAGGAAACAGAAACTATAGGAAGAACCAAACGGAGATTTAGCATAGATGAATAAAATAGCTGAAATTTCAAATGCACCAGTTTATTACTTTAACATCAGTCTGGAGAATGCCAAAGAAAGGGTTAGTGAAGTTGAAGACAAATCAATAGAAGCTATCCACTATAAAGACCAGAGATAGAAAATAAAAGATTTTTTAAAATCAATCAATGCCTCAGTGATCTGTCCTCAGGGATAATAACAAGAAATCTAACATAGATGTAACTGAAGTCTCAGAGAAA